AAGTTACACTTTAAGATTCACTGGCTGACTTTATTGTGATTAATCTTAAGAGCATTTGTTTTTGTTTGGTAAAATCATATTTTAATAGTTAACCTTTTTTGGGTTATAATAACATATTACTACATGGTCACATTTCCTGTCAACTTTAAACATTTTATACAAAAACACAGTGGTGTACCCTAGGGGTGTAAGAAAATATCGATACACTGAAATATCGCGATATTTAATTTCCCGATACTGTATCGATATCCTAAAGCCCTGTATCGATTTTTTTTAAGGTTTAAAATGTCAACTTTCCTGCCAGTCGTTCATTTTTATGTTGTAGTTCAGCCTCTGACCACTAGTTGGCAGCAGTGAGCCAGCCATTTGGCTCCTCTACCTCTTGAGCGCCAGAGAGTAAGCGTAGCATTAGCATYGTAAGTAAACATTAGCTTTTCTTTTCTTTTTTCAGTAAGAGGTTTTTATTTAATAGAATTTTTGGACAAAAAAACCACAATATATCGCAATATATTGCCTTGCTTATAGTATCGCAATATATCGGGATATATCGTATCGTGACCCCTCTGTTATATGTATCGTATCGCCAAATTCTTGCCAATACACAGCCCTAGTGTACCCTAGCAGTCAGTCCTACCACCACACTTTGCACACGTTCTGGGTGAAACCCTGTACACTTCTGATTCCACCTGATTTGTCTGTTGTAAATTAATCCAGTTTAAAATTTTCAGAGGACTTGAGTACACATAAAATGCGTACCCACATTTTAAACTACAAATCAATGTTGGAAAACTGCACCATTAGATTTAGTTCAGGACCTGTTTGTAGTTTGACCACGTGGAACCTATATTCTGTTGAAACGAGATTTAAATACAACACTGGTGTTTAATACTAAATATCTAGTCAACAACTCTAAAAACTAACTAAACGCACATAAAATGACATTTAGTTGAATAACATAGACTGAAAGAAGTAACATATGCGCCTCAAACTAAAACAGTATATCAGGAGGGACAGTCAGCCTCCATGTCCACACGTGGTTACAGGCCCCTCACGATGCTAACTCTTGTTAGCCTTAGCATTAAGAATGAAGACGTCATCAAACTAATGAAGTGCGTTCATGTGCACGCATACACCTGTCTTCACTGTTCCTGCAATACTAACAAACAGCTGAATCTAAATGAACTATAAAGGCAAACACAGGAGGAGTTTAGGCTAAGCTAAGCTAAGCTAGCTCCAGCAGAGAACGACTATAAATCAATTTTAAAGTGGCCGGAAGTGAGGCACCAAATATCACCTTAAATATAGCAAACCCAGCCGCGGTCTCAAATAGGACGAGCATCTTGTCAGCAGCTCTGTGGTCCTGTTTAAACACTCCCTCTGCAGAGAGAGCTCAAAGTTTTCCTCCGTCGGATGACCGACGGCGCGCCGATGCTGCACAAACTGCACGAGGCGCTGGGAGAGAGACAGAGCTGGCTACTTCCGGGTTGCCAGATATGGTTCAGCTCAGTGACTATCCCCCGGTTTACAGCATCGTTTTATAATGGGCAAAAATAATACATCTTGTCTTTTTATCTTATGTAAAAAGACATGTTTTACTAAAACTTTAACAAAATAAATTATGTATGTAAAAAGACAT